CACCCTCAAAGATGTTTTCTGATTTGTAGTTTTGATCCTCAAGATGAAAAAGTTGTGCAGTAAAAAAATTGCATTCACTTCCAGGAATCTGAAGTCTGCAGAGGGCTGTGCTGTAATAATAGCCTTGATGCAGACTGAGACAGTGGGAATTTTCCAATTACAGCAGATTGAAATCCTCCGAGCAACTGCTGTTGTTTTCCTCTAATTGGACTTTTCCTCTGGAAGAATTTTCTAATATGAAGCATCGTTCATCACCTCTAATGAAGAAACTTCAATATGCCGGAAAATGAGCCAAATCAGTCTCCCAAATGTAATACTGTTGATAAATCTACAAATGACATTCAGATTGCTGGCAAATATTTCATCGGCACCCCTCTGTTTAGGTAATATTGCTGAAAGAGATCAGTGTAATTGAGGACAAGGAAATAGAATCTATTCCCATAGTAAGTGTTTTTTAGTATAATTTGAGCTCAAAAAGCAGCAAAGTGCAGAGCCCAATTAAGATAAGGTGCTAATCAGCATGTTTCCTTTGAGACTTCGTCCTCGCTGACACAGGCACACTTAAGGTGTGTGTTAAACAGTAAAATGTTCCATTCCCTTTTAGCAGCTCAACAGTGTGTGTCAATCAGACCAAATGATGTTTGCTGTAGGTTTATCAAACCTTCATCTCTTCCACCTGTGTCATCCTTTAGGAACTATAAAACGCTTTATTGCTGCTTTTACATCCACTCAAATGATCTGTAGGTTTGATCTAAAGTAGAGGCAGCAGGCTAAGATTATTTCCACCAAATTTAACTTAGTGTTTTTCTGTCCTCTTCTCCATCTGCTTTAGTATCCAGTCATGAATGTAGGCATCTATGTGTGTGTTATCCTGGCCGCCTTGTCCAGTGGCTCCCTGAGTCTGCCTTCACAGTCAATGGTAAGATACACACACAGGTATTCTAGAAAAATCTGACTCTAAAACATAAAAAATGGAAAGCTTTTTTTTATTATTTTATTTTTTTTAAGTACCTAAACACACTTTGTTCAAACTAGACTAAAATGAGGCAACTTAACAGAAAACCTGGCATTCAGAATAAACGTGAGCACTTATTTTTTTCCAGGTTAAATTAAATTCAAAAGGATTTTCCTTGTTTTCCTATCCCTCTGCCAGAGAGCTGAGAGTTCTGCTCGCCTAACAGAAAGCCTCCATGCTCCGTCACCCAACCAAGCACGCCAGGCCCGCTCGGCTCCAGAGCCACCATCAGACCAGTTTACCCACTACAGCCAGCTCCGTGAGAACGCAGAGGCTCCAAACAGCCTGAGCAAGCTCCTGGCCAGACTCATCTCCAGGAAAGGTGAGTGCTCAGAGGAACGACGTCCTTCCCCTTCAACCGAGTCACGATTCACACATCTTCCTCCTCATCCTGTTATTCCTCTGCTGTCATTCATGCTGTGCCTGTATCCCACCATCTGGCATGTCCCATCTCCATCCTGCCGTCATCTCTTGCCTTCTCCCTGTCTCTTCCACTTCTTTTTAACCAACCTTCCCCCTCCATCATGTCCTCGCTCGCTCTCTGCCTCTCCCTTTAAGTCAACTCTATGCAGGGGGGAGATCTGCTGAGCTCACTGCTCTTGTAGAAAACAAAAAGACATATATAAAAACAGGACAAGTCAATGGGTTAACCCATTTAGACTCACTTAAGAAGTTGCAAACCATCATTAACAGAAAACATAGGAATAAAAAAAAACAAAAGCCAGCCTCAATAAGTCAGTGTGTTTGGTCTTTTCCAGGCTCTCCATTGCAGATCAGATCCTCTCTCAGCAGCAGAGCTGTGGCGCCCAGCCACAGGATAAAGGACAGAGATTACCTCGGCTGGATGGACTTTGGACGACGTAGTGCAGAAGAGTATGAATATTCTCCGTGAAGCCACAGTCGGCTTTCCTTCATCCCCCGTCACAGCTCCCAACAGCCCTCGGTTAAAGCCAGCAAAATCACATAGCAATTTCTATCTTTCACATTTCATTTAAATTAGGATCCTGGAATGAGATCAAATTCAAAAATGTACAGAATAAAGCAGATTATGGTAAATATTTTAATTCTGATGATAGACATTTAGAAGATTAAACCGCAGTATTTTTTAATCTCTGATTATTTCTTCTGCTCCTCAAAATAAATCATTTCATTAAAGAGAGAATCTCTGTCAAGTCTTAAACCACCTGAGTCCTGCAGTTTGTTTTTTTCTAAAACATGACTCAAATTGAAATGAACTGAGGGTTAATTTTTTGGGGGAATATTTCAAGTGTTTTCTAAATACAGATTTAGTTTGCTGGTAATGGAGGAGGGTTTGGAGAGTTTGATGCAGAATAAAGTACAGTTGCAACAGACTGCTGAAAACGGTGCTGTGTTGTAATACCAATAAAATGCATTTACTTTCCATTTAATTTTGCTGAAATGAGACATTTGTTAATTTAAAGTGTTTATTCAACGTAATATCGAAAGATGTACCTGGACTTCAAAGTTGGATTTTTGTTCTGCAGTATTTTATTCGAAATTAGAAGAAAAAAAAATAAAAGAAAAAAGATCTTTAGCGCTGAAAGATATTTACTTCCGAATGTTTTTGGAGTTCTGAAATGTTCAGCAATTTACGGCCCACTTAATTAGCTTTAACGACACACAGAGGTCCAGTAAGAACATCTTTTCATGTCCCACCATCTGCATCCGAGTGCAGCATCACTCTGAAGAGCGGATGAAAACACATCTCCGGTCCGCCCCAAGCGGGGAAATCTGGGACAAAGGTGTGAAAGAGTGAAAAGATCAAAACTGATTTCAGAAGTTTCTATTACGAGGCCTTTAAATCAACCTTAGATATTCTGTAGACATCATCTCTATAGCTGAGGTGTTTCGGAGAAGTTTGTGCATTGAAATATAGAATCACTGTAATAAACATGTTTTATCGTCTTTTTGAGCGAACAGAAGTCAAATTAAAGCTCATCCTTCCTCTGACATCAACATGAAGCATCATATCCAATCAAAGCTGATCTCAAGTAGCTGCTCTGTCAGTCCAGAACATTTCAGCCCTGAAACAAACCATATGATTAAGTGGTTTTTCCAGGACTCCTTTTTTAATTCAGAGAGAACAAAATACAAGCTTTCAACACAGCTTTAGAGCTGCAGCCGACAAATACATCATGATTCAAAACTGGCTGAGTGAAAGGCCTGATGGCAGCTGGTGGTTCTGTTCAAAGCTGGAAAAAGCACGCTGCACAGTGGACGTCTACTGTGATGGGAAATTAGCAGGTTAGCGCATCAGTCTACAGGTACTTTCAAGGCTAAAAGAAAAAAAATAATAATGAACTCACAAAACCTCAGGAAATTAACTTCAAAATACCGGATTCCAAATAATATACCCAATCTAGCTTTCAGTTCTATGATAACGGTGTAGAAACAGCAAATAACTAGATGATTACATAAAGAATAACAATGAAAATAAATACTTTCTGATGCAAGAACCTGCTTATTAATGCTCGTATCTGTTAGATGTCAAAAAGGAAAAACTTAGTTGTTTTAACTCACGGCAGAATAAATTAGCGTGACAAACTTCAATTAGTGTCAAGTGGATAAACCAGGTCACAGAATATTTTCTTTCAAAATCTTAAAAGAAACAAACCTTAAGTACAAATGTATCTCTAAACTAACTTAGAGGCAGAAGAACCTCTTTGAAGAAGAACAAATAAATACAAAATCTAACTCTACAAATCTAATGAAATCAGTTTTCAGTCATCTATTGTGTTTTATTTCCTTTTGCTTTTAAAAGGTACGTATACTGTAAACTGAAAAAAAAGCTAAACACCATTACACGCATTCAGTTGACTAGAACCCGACATACACAGAAAATAACCATGTAGCTTCTTTGACTCAGTGTAACTGATTTTTCACTAATAATAAAGAGATTAAATTAGGAGCATCTGTCATTCATGGAAGCCCAATTTACAGAAATATTTATTTGTTTTAATTAATTCACTCTTAGCTATGGAATCTATAAGATTTAAAGAAATAACCAAAAATAGTTTCTCACTTAGTTTAAACCACTTGTTTACACACACTGCACATAAATATATGGAACCCCAAAGACATTAAAGTGGACTACAGCTTTACCTGCGGGTTAAGTTAGGATTATCACTTATTTGTATTTGCTAAAATACCAGAGTTATGATGGTGAGATTGATGGAGCTTCTTTATGCTTTATTTTGGTTGAAGAAAGTATAAACAAGATTACAAAATGATCAGAGCCCACATAATGTATTGGCTGTGTAAATTGCGGACAGATTGATCTACAGCAGCTGGCTGGAGGCTCACCTGTGGATATATTTGAAGAAAACACTTAAATTGCACTGCATCCTATCATGACTACAGGCTAATATCTATAGCAAGCAGAAGAGATCTTTTGCCCACTATAATTCTAGTTCCTTCTTGGGTACAACTTCCTGATGCCTAAAGGATCCAAACAAAAAATAAAAAGCATTCAAATTAGGACTGTCCATGTTTTAAACCTTTCAGCATCAAGACAATTTCTTCATCCCAAAGATGAACGGAAGCAAGAAAGCTGGAATTCCAATAGAAACAGAAAAAAGATACGACTGAAACTTTGTGAAAGGTTTTACATTAAGCATATTTTTTGATAAATAAAGAGTTTGGTTATAATGACCAATTTTGAGTGTATTGCCTCCCCAATAGTGAGGCATGGTCGGGGCAGCATCATGGCGAAAGAGCATTATGTGAGTATATTGAGGGCACATCCAAAGCCTTGCATGGTGGTGACATAGTTCTGTTTTGGCAGGATGAACAGTTATGTGAGGTAATCTATGTTCTGGATTTTGTTTTATAACTTCATTCAGTAGGAGTTTTATCCATCTCTGCTAGGAGTTTCAATGGGACTCACGGAAGAGAAAAAAAATGGCAATAAAAGCAACATTCACAAAAAAAAAAGAGACAGTGAGTTACATGGATATTCTTTAACTCCTTTATTTTGAACACACTGGAAGGCTTTGTCCACACATTCCTCTGTAGATGTACATGAAAACAGACTTCCACACATCAACACATTTATTTATTCAAACAGAACAATCATTAGAGATACACACTAACATCCATTCAACATGTTAAAAAAAACAAAAAAACAAATCATAATACCAGGCTTTAATGAAAAAAAGAAAAATAGATTATATCTTAAACTCTAGTGTTAAAAGTACTAAGACACCAAGTCTCTGTTTGAAGATTATTTATGACAAGGAGCCATGAGAAAAGCATCCTGCAGTCATATTTAGTGACCCAACCGCAGGAGTTTCATCAGATGGATCATTTATTTTAGAAGACGATATGATGGATAAGACATGTTTATATCAGCGCCTCCACCTGGATACTGATGGGACTTAATGGCAGCTTGCCTGGAAGAATCTCAGATCAGGGACCACATGTCGGCGTTTAAAGTGTAACAAAGAACTCTGAGGTAAACTTATGAGAAATAACACTCAGCCGCCACCTGCTTATTGGACTATACACAAGTCCCATTCTTCATTCTAATACATTCATTTACTACCGCGAAGGTAAATGTGTCCTCTATAACCACGGTCAGAGTTAACGAGAATCAGAAGGGACATTCAAACTTATTAAAGCATCTCTAGAGTATTATTATAATAACTCATAACGGATATTTGGCACTACTGAGACTATGGTTATGCCTCGGATGTTCTTTCACAAAGTAGGCAGCTAAGAGTTGTTATTAATACAACTTGGTTTATTATCACAACACAATGACTAACTGTCTAATAAGTGGCCTTATGAGTTAAGCAGACTGTTGGAAATTAGGTCGATTGTAAGATATGTACACAGAAAGTGGCAGTGTGAATGGAATAAAAGGAACGCGTCCTATCTTATGAGGCTCATTAAGAAAAACAAACTAAATACGAAGAAGTTTAGCGCTTCATATGTAGTAGCTTCAGCGGTTCATAAACGGTTGGTTTAATCATGCTGTGGAGTGCGGCTACCAACCTGATTTGTTAAAAGAGCTTGTTACGTTGCTGAAACGAACTAATTCATTTTGAATGTACAACCATTTGCAAACATAAACCATGCAATTAATCAAAAGAGTCGTCATTAAAGAGTTGGTGTAGTTATTGCTGACAGGAAATGGACCACTGAGTACAACTATAACAAAAAAAACAACAACCAAGAACCGTTTATCTTTAATACTTTGGATCTCTGCAAACTTCAGTTCAACTATATTCCACTTGGGAACAATTATTTAAACATATAAAACTGTTAAATCCATCATTGATTGTGTGAAACTTATCCTAACATGCATTTTTATCATAAAATAAATGCTATGAGAACAATAATAGGATACAACAATAAGATACAAGCAAACTGATATTATTATTACTAGCATACAGTGTGCATATCATTTTTAAAGACCATACTGTATATAAAATACTAATTTGTGAACTTGCTACCCTTACATCATATGTTCTACTGTTAGGAATATTATACATCTCTGATTTTACAACAATGGACAGTAAACAATAAAGACACAGCTGTTGGTCGTTAAAATAAAATTCAAACATCGTCTCTTTCAAGTATCTGTGAAATGTAAAAAAAAAAAAGCTACAAACTATTAACTTAATGTACATTTTGTTTTTTATGATGGTGATTTTCCTTCTGTTCACTGATCGATATGATAATATAAATAATATTCGTTATCTATCCTTCTGCTAAAGTTTTTTTTCCACCTTGGTCCAGTTTGGTTTTCATAGATTATATCAAGTTATTAGGGTAGCTTTATATAATGGTACAATGGTCCATTTGTAAACTAAAAAGTACTTATTCCTGATTCTTCTACTAAACTGGGTTATTTAGTGGCAACTGGCCACCATAGATTAAAGACAAACCCACTAATTCTTATAGTCTTCCAGCTGATTGTCGGCGTGTCAGTGGAAGTGTCCCATAGCTTCAGCTGCTTTTACTCTAACCACAGGATCTGGATCCTGGAGCAGCATCACTAAACCTGGATACACAGACACCGTTAACCTGGGGACATTCAGGATGTGACCTCCTTGTTTTAAAGGGAACTGGGAGACTTACCTTTGGAAATGGTGCTCATGTTGAGGTGGGAGAGCTGCTCCTGCTGAATGTTTCCCAGGAGGAACCCTAGTGGTGGAAATTGATATTACAACATGCAGCAAATTTTCAGACGATAGAGTAAAATCACCTAAAATGCAGGTTGTAATTAATGTAGTATAAAGCTGAAAGTCTGTAGGATCGCCGACTTCATAAACCTGCATTTCTGTATTACCAATTTCTAATATCCTAATATCCTAATTTTTATCATTAGATGGAAGTCAGAATTTTTAGTTTTCTAGGTGAAATTTTAAAGGTTATCAACATTGTTTGACACAAACCTAAATAAGTTTCTTTTAATAAAAAAAAAAATCCCCTAATAATATTCTATTTCATTGAGATGCAATGATTTTGATTCATGGATGAAATAGCAGTATCAGAACTGTTTCCTTGTTAATGTTAGTTTATGTGATGTTGCAAACAGCTTCAGTACCTATAAACATGGCTGCTGCAGCTCTGACTTCAGACCAGCTGCTCTTAAAGAACTGGATGACTGAGATGTGGTAGAAGTTCAACATGCCGGGAAAGTCTTGAATCTACAACAAAATAAAAACAAAAATGACTATAACAGTTGCTGCTGTAATGTAACAATAACTCCTTGCAGGTGTATTAAGCCGGGCGTACACTGTGCGATTTTTTCAGTCGACTAAACCCTGCGGTTTAGTCGTACAGTGCGAGTTCACAGCTCACGATGTATGTGCAGCAGAACGCTCTGATAAGATCTACCTGCTCACACTGTACGACTAAACCGCAGGTTTTAGTCGTACAGTGCGAGTTCACAGCTCACGATGTATGTGCAGCAGAACGCTCTGATGCGATCTACCTGCTCACACTGCACGACTAAAAAGCATGTCAGACTCAGCTCCACAGTGAGATGAAGCTACTCTGACTCGTCTACCTTGAAGCCAAACAAATAGAAGGGGAATATTAAGCTCACTACAGTGAACTGCGCTGCCTTGGCAATTTGTGCAATTTTGTGCTGAAAGCCCTAAAAATAAAAGGCGACGACGTATTTGGAAAAAAAAAAGACAAGGCTGAGCAAACGTGGCTACTACGTTCTGTTAATTTTACAGACAGAACTGCATTTCACTCATTGCATCCCTGCCACGCTTCTTTGTTTACAGAAGAATCCTTGTTTGTGCACGCACACAGAGAGATTTGCCCACGACGGTCGGGAGAAAATCAAACATGTTTGATTTTCTCCCGACCTCATGATTCCTGATCGGGAGGTGGTCGTGTGAGGCTGATCACCTCTCGTAACCCCCTGTACACTACATGACCCACGATCAGGCTGAAAGTCAGGCCGATCGAAAGAGTCTCGCATGTCTGAAAAATTGCCTTGAAAATCACACAGTGTACGCTGGGCTTTAGAGGAATGCGCAGCTAAAAATCAGCAAGCTTTAATGCTACAGCAGCACAGGTGTGTCTCACCAGGTACTTGGTGAGATCATTGATGAACTCTCCATAGTGCAGGCTCTTGTCCTCATGAAGGTGATTCTGAAACATGGTTGTGATCTGCTCTGATCCAACTACAGGAGCGCACACTCGCATCGCATATTTACAGGCCTGAAAACATTAGCAGAAGAAGAGATATACAAATATTAAACAAACATAAAACCGAAGAAGTATATGTATGAAAAAAGCTTTTCCAACTGCTGCGCGTGCTTCTGTACCTTGACCACTTGTGTGTTTGGGTCGACCAGGTGCAACAGTAAGCTGACCAGAACATTATGGATCTGGTCTTTGAATATCTGCTCCCCTGAGCCAAATTTGGACAGATTGCCCATCAGGAGGATGGAAGCACAGCGGATATCGTCATTTTCCTGCACAAACATCAGGACAGAAATTTCTAATGTTTACACACTTGCAGGAAGAATTAAGCAACATGAAAAAAGAGATAATGGAGGACAAGTCTTTTCTCAGCTGGATCCCTTAGGCCTAGTAACGAATGCTGCATTTGCTGTATTTGAGCCCAAGAATGAATTATAAAGAGCTTATTTTTGTCATTTCCATTTTAGTTTCCACATCGGTGGTTAAAATGCAGTATTTTTAGCTAAGCTCAGACCATCAGACAACATCAACATCCAACAGGTAGGTAGTCCAAAGGATTTAAATTCAAATTGTTCCAGTCCATTAGAAATAGACACTTTTCCTTCCATTAGCAGCAGAAAATTAATAAAAAAGAAGAAATAAAATCATCATACAGGCCATTTTCTGCTGTAAACTGCTGAAATAACCAACTCGACAGTTATTGCACAATCCAAAGTATGACCGATGTGCAGTGTGTGATATTAAAGCAGGGCAAGCTGAATTGTGGTTTTTATTTTGTTATAATTGAGTGTGAGAACCCAAAACACTGCTTGATGCAATATTTGCAGTCATAGTGTTGGCTCTCTGTAAATGTGAGGAGGATGAACAACTGGCCTCAAAGCCCCAGCTGATGCATGGTGGTCATGACTGGGATGCTATTGGTCACATTGAGTAGCTGGTGTATTTTGCAAGGATAAAGAAAGAAAAGTCAGGAGGACAAGCCCTAATCATAACTGATATCAACTGTGCAGGTTTTAGGAATAGAACTGCAAACAATAGATTTTTATAACATAAAACCACCTAAATTAAAGTTTTTCTATGAAAATTATACTGTACATTGTTGTTTTTATTCACTAGCAAGAGAATATTCTATAACAAAGTGCAGGTAATGGAAAAAAAAACAGGTAAAAAAAGAGCATATCTTTTTAAAAGCCTGTAAAATATTCAAAGAATAAAGCAAATGTTCTAATTAATGGAGTGGCTGCAGTTTTATTAGCAATGGAAGCTTAGAGAAATGAAAATATAAATAAATTCTCTTATGTTAGCATCTTAAAACCCAACTCACACTTTCTAAGAAAGGTTTGATTTTCATGAAGATGTAGACCACCAGTAAGTGGACGTTCTTCTTGTCCAGGTGAAGAAGAACTTTAGACAGACCAGACATGGCCTCCAGGGTAATCAGTTTACCTGTAAAAGACAAAATAACGTAAACAACCAGCTTTTCCTCAATGATGGCTACAAAACTTCCCTGCTCCTCTTCAATTACCCGGATCATCTTTCTCCTCCATTCCTGAGCTCATAGCTGCGAGCAGCTCCTTGGCGTATTTATTCACCTAAAAGGAAAAGGAACAAGTTAACAGATCGCATCTGTAGAGGGTGTACCGTATCCTGGGGGGGGTGGGGGCGCTCATATTTGCATACCTTTTCAGGGGATCCCACTGCTATGTTGCCCAGTCCTCGCACAGCCAGCATGCGGACAGTGCAGCAGGGATCTGATATCCTCTCCATCATGTTGTTCATCAACACGTCTATCAACATCAGCTCAGTCACAACATGATGGTTCAGCAGCTGGACTCATAAAAAAAGAACAGAGAAACAAAATCAATGGCAAGTTTTCATCTCCTACTGTGGTGGTCTGTGTTAGAACGAAGAGAAATAGAATTTTTTCCCCCTTTTTATTTAAGTAAAACTGCTTCTAACCTCGGAAAAGAAAGCGGTGACAGTAATTCTTTGACTTTCATAGATGTTGTTCAGCGACGGGCAGAGACTCTCTACAATCGCAGGCAACCTGGGACCAGCATGCTTTGCCAACGCCCTAAACAAGACAAGCACACAAATAAACATACAGTTACACAAAAAAAAGTTAGACAAAACAGCTATTTTTACATCTGCATCCTAAGTTTTAAATATAAAGAAAATCCTTCAGTGCAGCTCAGACTTCTCAGCTGCACTGTCCAAAAAGGTTTGGTTTCAGCGTGCTCACCTTGCCAACAGCGTTATCCCTGTAACGTGTGTGTTTTGCTCCTTCATTGCATCCCAGGCATTATCTTCATCCAGTCGTTTCATCACCTCATCTAACTGAGCGCGGGCCAACAGGATCCTCAGAGCGTCAGCTGCAACCCTGAAGGAGAAAATAACAAACAGATCCTTCTTAAACTAAAGCCCTTCCACAGAGGTTCTTGGAGCCTTTGGCCAAACAATACAGATAAATGAAAATGAGATGAAAAGCACTTTTATTGAGCCTCATCTTTTTATTGAGCACCTACTTATACCTATACAACACCGTAACAATAATATAAAGGATGTTAAAGATCTAGTCTATGTTACTATGCTTCGTCTTTAAAGTAGAAAGGACTCAATTTAAAATAAAAACAGCAAACCTTTTTACATCAAAGAAAAATTCACAAAATAAAAATAAACTGTGGTTTCTTTATTTAACGATGAACAAATGCCATGTCGTTTATTTTTAACCAACCTACAAAACTACATTCATCTACAAATTAAAGATAAAAACAATTATAAAAAATTAAGCACCAATTTGAATGTGTTAAAAAAAAAAAACAATTTGAAAGGACAAGTTTATGTACGGGGGGAAAATAAGTATTTGAACATCCTGCTATTTTTTATGTTCTCCCACTTAGAAATCATGGAGGGGTCTGAAATTGCCATTGTAGGTGCATGTCCACTGTGAGAGATATAATCTATCAATAAATGAAATCCAGAAATCACAATGTAGGATTTTTTAAAATAATTCTTAACCATTTAGCAATGTGTTCAAAGACTTCTGATCCCCTGAAATAAATAACCTACCCGGCTACATGCAGGGAGCCTGAGTGTTTATGAGCGTTGTCCTTCGGGGCCATGACTCCAACGCTCGCTCCCAGTCTGACGGTCAGACAGGAGAAGAGCTGAGGAAACAGGCCCACTGCTGGCTCCTGCGTATGTCCGTTTAATAACAGCTCCTTCAGACCACATGTCATCTGAAATCAGAGAACAAACAGGAACACAAATGTCAACAATCAGCTTCCCCTTCTAAGCATCTAGTTGACCTTCCTTTGCTTTGGTACAATAGATTCACACCAGCAGCTCCCTGAAGAACAACAAGCAGTAATGAAACACTTTGGTCCCACTTACAGCCAGTGGCTGATTGGTCGCCACTTTCGTCATGCCTCCCCTCATCATTGACTCCTTCTTGTCAACGTAGGGCGCCGTGATGGAAAGTTTCTCCATCACCATCTCTATGATCTGATTGGCTACAATGGGATCTGCTCCCAAAGCCATCCACATCTCACTGGTCCAGCTAGAGGAGACAGTAAAAAATACACAAGCAACAAAATGTCAGAAAATCTAAAATCAGAAGATTTTAGTAGTTTGATTAAATAGCTTGTGATTGTTTGTGTACCTGTCATAGGGAAGAGGTTGGTTAACTAGAGTATTAATGACCGTCTGCAGATGCTGAGAAGCCAAGATTAATACTGTCTGCCCCACTGCTACCCTCACCTTAACAGGAAAAAAAAACAATGACATGAGATGTAGAGCTTTAAAAATGTATATTTGGTACTTTTATAACTCAAACATTATGGAAAATATATATATAAAAAAAAGCACATAAAGAGTTTCTAAAATTATTTATACAGGAATAAAAGTTACCTGTTCCTCTGTAATACTCTGCAGACGCACATGCAGAACCTCCAACATTTCTGGGACCTGTGAAGCCAGCAAATACACACCACCCATTAACAACAGCTTCCACCTCAGCAGTTATTTCTGCGTGTGCAGCGACTGTCCGTTACCAGATCTTGCAGTCCGCCTCCCCTGTTATTTAGCAGGGTGTTCAGGATGACGGACGAAGCTCTGCAGCAGTTTGTTTGACTGTCCACCAGCCCTTCAAACAACATGAAGACCATGGTCGTCAGCTGCTGCTGAGGCAGGCGTTTAGTCATCACCTGATGGGTGCAGGAGAAGATGCAGTTACTCTTCTGGTTCTGACTACACATTAGCTTTGCAAATAGTTAGAACAAGACTTTTTGGATGAAGCTGTGCTGAAATGTCTTTAACACTGAGCCTTAAAGTATTCATACCTATTCCTTTCCTCTTTAATGGATTAAAATGTTACCATTCAATCATTGACTTCTTTGTTTTATTGGCATTTTGTATGATTGTATGAACAGAGAGTAATGCATAAATAATATTTGAAAAGATGAGTTAATATAGATTTGTGGATTTGTATTCAGGCGCCTTAAATCCTCTGCATCCGCCGTAACGCACCTTTGTGAGATCTGAACAGGTCTTGTAAAGAACAGAATGGTCGGGATTTTCTAGCGCTTCTTTCAAAGACGGTAAACCTTCAACAGCTTCATCTTTATAATCCAAGGAGAACCCTAGCAAACAGAAAACATTGATTATACATATGATTTGTCTATCTTTTGTACAAAAGGATCCTGGGGCTTCTATGATTACCTTCGTATCGTAGCTGTATACTAAGTAGGGCATATATGCTGTCAACTGCTGCAGCACGTACAGCCGGCTGAGGGTCAGAGCAGCGGGGAGACAGACGACCCAGCAGAGCTCCAAGGTTGTGGAAAGAGACCATACTCTGCAGACGTAAGGATGCACAAACAAGCAAAACCAGACCTTTGTTATAGACAGTAGAAGTAACAAGCAAAGAGAACAGCAATGTTAATTGATCCCTTTTAGCCATTAAAATCTGTAAGTTTTGCTACTGAAAGCAAAATAAAGAAGTCTGATAAAAAAAAAACAAACAAAAAAAAAAACACTGAGCTCTCTGTCCCATATCCGAGTACCTTAACATTTAGGTTTTGCAGATAGTAAGCCAGAAGATTAGAGGTGGCAGTAATGGCCCTCTCCCTCTCATGATCGTGAACAGAGCTCAGCCACGATTCGATGTGCTGCAAATAAAGAAACCAGAAAGGAAACATATAAAAACAACACACCCAGATGAAACAAACAAAAAACATGGCACTTAAGCATCACCATTATTTAAACTAGGATAAGAGCCACCATTACGGAGGCTGACAGGAGCCACATTTCAATACCCTGTGATAATAGGTTTATATGCATTGAGTAATATTAGAAAACTGGAATACATAAAAACTTTATTCAATAAGTAATTCATTATATGGTCCTCAGTAATATGTAGTGATTTCATTTTATGAGGTAAATATAATTATTACATGATCTAATACATTATTTCACGTTCCTAAAGCACAGCATGAGTTAATTTAAACTGTCACAGATCCATCAAAGGAGGAGGCGGGTCTATGGCGGCTCTCATAGAAACCGTTGGATTGGCTGCTTATTACTGAGCAAAATGAGAAAAGGCGGAAATAACTTCAAAAATGTGTTTCAATTTATTTACAGCCATCATTATGAGGCAATTCAAATATAAGTAACTTATGAAAGAGTTTGCTGGGGTCTAGTCTGGTGGCAGCTGCCAGAGACTTCAGCAGAATCAGCGTTAGCCCCGCCCACTGACTACGTTCTACTCCCTCATTAACTTTACAGAGGTCTAAGTAGAAATATAGAAGCTGGAGTTGATCATCAAACCTGCTGGAAATTAATTAGCAATATGTTTTAAAACTTTTCCCTTTTCTCTAGAGAAAATGATGACAGAGTGAAAGAAAACTTTATTTATAAATTCAGTCTATTTATTTCAAATTTTAATAAATTAATGATACATTTAAATAATCATTTAATTAGTTATCTATTTATTGTATTCTGGCACTCATCAGCCTCTGCACTCCATTTATAGAACATGCATTTAAGTTTATCAAAAGGATTCATCAAAAAATGAAGCTGATGAGAGTGAAACATCAAGCTTTACCTTAAAGATACTCTGCAAGCCATCAGGACTGGGGTCCCTGGCCAGAACGCTCCTCAGAAGCTCCTGCAGAGCAGCCAACGTGTCTTTGTACAAAGCCTGGAGAGAGAAGACGGGGTGTTTTCAGTTCCCTAATGTTTTGCAAATATAAAAGTGAAATGAAGTCAAAGCATCTGTCCTAATATTTTTTTTTTTTATAGTAATATTTTTAAATACTGTCTTATGGTAAGAGTTGTTCTCTCCTTAAGTTTTCAGCTGTGGGGATTGAGAGCCACTGAATTTCAATTCCTCAATATGTCGTTTGTGTTGCAGAAATTAATGTTAAAGCTGAATTTGAAGCAGCACCTAAACAACACGTTTGGAAACTTGATCTGTAACTCACCTTTCTCTGCTTGGGGTCGAGGTTCTCCTCATCTTTAGTTTTTTCTGGAGTGTGCGTGTCAGGTGGCAGGGAAAACACACTGTTCACGCAGACCTTCAATAAATCAAAGCTCTCACTCTCACCTAACGGAGGGTCCAGGGGTCTGAAGCATTAAGTCAAGGATTAAACTCTAAAAACGCACAAGGACTGCAGAACAATAGCTTCTGTGTGGAGAATACATTGCATTATGAAGGGTTAGAAATCACTGACAAGCTACCAAATCAGGGGATTTGTAGGTTTGTCTGTTGGGTTATTCTAGAAACTGTAGTTCTATGCTCTCAGACACTTCGGTTTACTTTCCTATTTTAGTTACAGCTTCCCAATAAAGCTCATATACAAAAGGATAAATTGTTTCTGGTTTTGACGCTCATCTGGTAACCCTATATTATGAA